GATCCTCGATATCGTGAGTTTATTTATTTTATTTATCTTTTTTTAAAGGAGTTAAAATTTTGTTAACTCGAGCTTTTTTAGTACTCCTTTTTTCTTGATTCCACATACCTTATTTTCCCCTCTCTCATACTCTATGTACCTTTTTCTTACACCTAATTGCTACCTTCTTTGTCAAAAAAAAAAAAAAAAAAAAAAAAAATTGCTACCTTAAGTTCTAAAAAGGTTGTAAATAGGTGGAAATCATTATCCTTAAATAATGAAAATTGCTACATAAGTCTTCTAATTGAACACTTGGCAATGGTGATGGTTTAATACTTTAATCAAATATATGTTTTCGACACAAAAAATACTCTTATCAAACATGCTCTTAAAGTGGTTTGAGTATTACTACTCCCAATACATTTTATTTGTAACTTTTGAATATTTTATGTATCACAAATTATATCCAAAATTGCATATAATATGACGGAGGTAGTAGATAGTTTTTGATGTAAAAATCTTTTGACACAAGAATGGATCATGGAGTATATAGGATCTTATCCTCCTCTTTATTGCCAGAATTATCACCTATTACAACAACCTTGTTTGGTAAAGAGTTTTTGAAAAGTTTTTAATTTATTGAACACTATTAGAGGTTTGACCATTTTAAAAACTTAATTTTGGTGTTTGGTAAATAACTTATCAAAAAGATTTTTTTTTTTATGGTAAAAAAAAAAAAAAAAAAAAAAACTCTTTTAGAAAAAGCTTTTTATAAGAGATTTTTTAAATTAGCTTATTTAGTATTAAATACATTGAAACAACTACTAATAATAAACATCTACTCGTATTTACTTAACACTTTTATACAATCAATTATTTACAACAGCTAATCAAATCATCTAATATAACAAGCTAGTTAAAGTGTCAAACCAATTAATACAACAGCATAATAACTATATCAACTAGCTAACACCTAATTACCGATCAAGGCCACAACTAACAGCCTTGTATTTGTAACTAGTTTTCAAATTTCCCCACTCTTGACAAGGGGTGGACAACTGAGTGGACAGGCTAAAAGTCGCGGGCTTCCAAACTATCTGCGGATTCAAATTTTAATCAAGGTATTCTCCCTTTTCTCACTCTTTCTAATCTTTTTCATTTCAATTGTTATCGATTTATAGGGTTTCGAATTTCTTACAAAATCCAGAATTTTTGGGTAATTCTGGGTTAAATTCAATTAATTCAAATCAACACTTTTTAATTTGATTACATTTTCATTCCCCCTTTTCTTAATTTGATTGTTGAATTACATAATCAATTCCTTTTTCTGGAAAATTCCAGAACTTCCAAAATGGCAACAGAATCATCTGAAGGAGAAGATGAAGGAAAGCTTGTCGGAGGTAGCAAGGATTTGGTTGTCGATGGGGATCTGCGCGAGATGACGAAGAATGCAGCTTGGAGTGTCAGTTCTTGTAAACCTGGTAATGGTGTTCAATGTCTCCGAGATGATAATTTAGAAACAAATTGGCAGTTAAGAACACTTCTTTTCTCCCTTTAATCTTCAATTAGGGTTTTCAATTATGTAATTATAAAGTTTTATATGAAATCTATGTTCCTTTTGTAGGTCTGATGGGGCACAGGCTCATATGATTAACATTCAATTTCAGAAGAAAGTAAAATTGCAAGTAATAGGGTTTTGCCTAATTTGATTTTGGTTTTTCATTTGTTTGTTGTCGTAATTTGTTTGGTTTTTGACTTTTTGTGGTATGGTTAATTAATGTTGTCTACTATTAATTTGGTTTCAGCTTATTGTGCTGTATGTCGATTTTAAGCTCGACGAGAGTTACACACCTGGTAAGATATTTCATAACATGAAGGTAGTTTTACAACATCAAACATTTGAATGTTATTGTTCCTTGTTCAAATTATTGTAGATGGGGAATGTAGGAAATAAAAGCTGTGGAGTTAGTCAAGCCATCTGGTTGGGTGTATATCTCATTATCTGGAAATGATGCACGGTGAGACATTTTGACTAATTTGTTGTCTGATTCTGGCTTGGTAGCTTACATAGTAGTCATCTGTGAACTGAAATCACTTTAGCCGCATACATTCTTGTGAAGCTAGTGGCTTTAAATCCAATGCTTGCTGTTTTTTATATTTCTAATTTCGGATACCTATTTCTAAATCATGGTTGAAGCATTAAACTTGTAAATTTAATGTTACATTGTGAAAACATGTCCTGCTGAGGTTTCTTGTTAGTATCCATAGCTTGGGAGTCAGAAATGGATAGAGATGAGCGATTTTTTTGCTTTGTTACAGGCGCTTCTGTAGTCATAGCCAGACAAGGTAGCTGATGAGCCTATAGGTTATTATAGTCCAATGATTCTGAGGAATAAATTTTTTAGAATTGTATTCATATCTGGTTGATGAATGAATCTTCCAACTTTTTGGAGCATGAGAGGATGCACAATTGGGTGCTTCTTCCTCTGGGGATTGAATGTGTGCGGAGGTTTAGGGCAATAAGGTTCTTATCTCTGCATTTTCATATTAGTATGGCATTCAACATCATGGAAATATCAATCTTATCTATGAATATAACTACAAGTGTTAATCTGGGAATATGTATTTTTAGTATAGCACTCAACATCATTAAATATCAGCCATCACTAGTTTCTGTGATATTTTTGCTCCTCTTTTATTCTTCTCAGATCTTTTCGGTATATCTTAGATTATATGTTATGCATAGTTGCAGAGTTTTTACTGGCTAGACACCCTCCTCAACTATCACTTCCTGAGTCAATAATCTCAATATTATGTACGGTCTTCATACTGCTTTTGCTTCTGATGTAGCCAGTTATTCGACGTTTACTGGTTGTGTACTTGTGTCGTGTGCAATTGTGCATGACCCACAATGCCGTGCATTTCATTCTAAAAGGTTATTTTATTCTTTGGGCATTTGATTCTGGATTTTCCCCATGTAAGATAGGTTTATGCAATTGACCTTCAAAATTTCATTTCATATGTGAATACCCTCCTTTTCTTTAGACTGACAATAGAAAATCCCTGTACATCTCAATCTTGAGACTGAGTCTTTGTTGTTGTTGCATCAAAACCAACTCTCTTTATGTTCTGACCTTTCCTTGTGTAATGGTGTATAGTAGGTTTATGTATTCTATGTCTTCAACCTGCTGTATCGATCTTCATGTCATTATCTTGGTAGCTAGCTGTTGCTCTGACTAGATCCTGTCCTAGTCATCATCTGGGAGTCAACATGCTTGTACAGTTCATGTTTTTCATCCAAAAGTAGATTTCGGCTTGAGGTTTGGACTCGTTGAAATCCTGGAGCCATGTTTTCTTATATATCTCTTCAGATTTACTGCTACTTTTGTATCCTATATCTCATTGTATGCTTTTATCCTAATTGATTAGCTGGTGCTTTTTAGCTATGAGCTTTACTTAAGAATTGGAAATTGGATCATACTATTGAATAACTTCGTGTTAGTTTATATTAATGATCTCAAAAAGATGTATTTAAGACTTTATAACACCTGTTTCTTGAGCCAATATCTGATAAGTGTTTTGCATATTTACAGGGAAACTTTTGTTAATACTTTCATGCTGCAAATTGCTGTTTTGTCAAATCACCTTAATGGAAGAGATACCCATATGCGCCAGATAAAAGTTTATGGACCTAGACTGTATGTTTTTGCCTGATTGGTTTTTCAATTCTTGCTTCATATGTCGCCTTTTCCTCTGTCTAAATTATTATTTTCAGCTATAAATTGTAACAGGAATCCCGTTCCTCGTCAGCCATTTCAGTTCACCTCTGCTGAGTTTTTGACATACTCCACTGTCAGATGAGGATAGTGAGATGTCATTGTTTCTGCATCACGGCACTGCTGTATGCCTGTATACGTAGTTTTATTGTTTCTCTGAGGCGATCTTATTTTTTCCTATATTGGTAACCAAGGGATGAAGCTGTAACCGCTGATTGGCTGCCTTGCAAACCTTGCTTTCGAAGATACCAAGCACTCTGCCTGTAATGTAGGAATTAACTAATCATTGGTTTGATTCATATGGCATTGCCTAATGAATTTGTATAACCAATTAACCGCTGGATCGCAGCCTGTATGCTTTTTTCCATAATGCTTAACTATAGATAGGTATACCTTGTTTAGTTGTTTGTACGCCTAAATGATAAGTTGAGGATGCTAATTTGGCTTCCAGCTGATATGGTTTGTTTCGGGCAATGTCTACATTTGTTCAGTTTTGCACATTTTGGGATATAATAGCGGTAAATGAAAAGCAACGTACATACTCCGTATTTATCACTTAAAATTATCTAATTTTGGGTTAAACGTACGTATTATGTAAAAAATTTCAATTGTGGGAAATGAAAATAGACCCGAATACACAGCCCAAATTGTAATTTGCAGTGGAGATAAACACCCTAACCGCCTAACTAACTAATTAACAAAGTAACTTATAACTGTCAACGATAGTATTAAAACTGACAAATTATAACAAACCAAGAATCCATTTTACTAATCACTCCAATTTCACACAACTAACTAATAAAACCTATAATTTTCTGTTGCATATAACTTCTCTTCATTTCTTTAATTCCTAACATAATAACATTCAAGATTTCCAAGAAAGTACACCCTCTATTCTCCCTTGAACATCATAATGTCTAATGATCATGGAAAACCGCCGAGGGCGCCGACGCTTGATCAAACAAGGCGTAAGAGAAAAAGTAATACTCAGGAAGATAATGATGGTGGTGAAGAAAGGGCGCCAAAGCAAAGGGGTATTATTTTCCGACCACATACTCAACAAGAGTTTATGGTACAGTATACAGCCGCAATCGCAATCTGCTAAATTAGGGAGAAGAGAGAATGAATAGCTTCATTATTATTCATCGATAGGTAGAGTATTTATACAAAACCTACCTCATAAGATAGAAAACAATATTCCTAAAGATATACTAACATAACCATAAACCCTTAGATATATTCTTAAAATAATATCTTAACATAAATATCCTAATTAAATATATTATTCTCTTAAATGATATCTACGGAAAATATATCACACGTATATTTTCCGATATCTCTAACACAATCACAGCCGCTACCACAACCACAGCCCCATCCGATGCCGCCACCACCATCAATACCTTTAGGCAACCGAATAGAAGAAGTTTAACAAATTTTGAAGGAACATGGACTTGATCATGGAGAATCCCTCTGTAAAAATGGGTTTGAGGTTGCTCAGAATGGCTCATTCATTTTGTTTAATTTCTGAAAATGGTTTGCAGTTTTGTTCTCTGAAAATGTGTTGATTGATTTTCTGTTAATTTTTGAAAATTGGTTGTATGACTAGGAATTCATACCAACACGACCTATGACAATGATTAATGGCTCCCAAAGATCGATCTCACTTACCTCGGTTTGAACGAATTGCTGTAGTGTTCTTGGGGTTAAATTGCATACCTCCGTTTATTCAAGTTCGAATCACAGACCTCCGCTATAAATTAAGTTTAGTTAAGTGATCATGTATAATTCGTTTGAAAAAAGATGAGAGGTGTGAAATTGTTAACTGGGTAACAACATTGCCACATAGGCTGTCCCCACAAAATCCCACTCAACAGCTCAATAAGTGATAAACTTGTAAAAAAATTCCAAAATGCCATTGTGAGAAACGGAATTGTTTCTCACCATGAGGAATGGGGCTCCCTCGTATAATTTAAGTTGCTAAAAATTATATCTATGGCTCAAAATCTGGCTTCTCTAGTTCTCCCTCCTCCATACCAGCCATGGTATCATACAAAGGCCGATTCAACGTCTCAGGCAAAAAAAATCCTAGCAAACCACCAACGATTCCACAAACCGAAAACACGATGAAGGGATACGTGCTACCCATCACCACCACAAGAGGGGCTAAAATCGCCCCCATATGAGACGCTTGTGTAACACATCCTAGGGCAGCATTACGTACAACCGTGGGGAACAACTCTACGGTGTAAATAAACAACAAATTATATGTTCCTGCCATACCAAAAATCCCTAATATACCACTTATCATACGTATATTCTTCCATATTCCATAGCTCTTCATCAAACTCCCTAACAAGCAGAACACCCCACTAAACCACATAGTTCCTATTGTAAGTGGCTTCCTTCCAAACCTATCCAACATAATCGCGGTTAATGTGAAGGCAGGCATTTCAGCAACCGCGTTGAGAAGTACATTGAGGTAGAGGTTGGTGTCGAGATTGACCACATTTAGGCTAAGTCCATAGTACACAACCGCGCAACAAAAGTTGATCATAAAGGCTAAGTAAAGGCGTACTCTTGTGATGGGTGACTTTAGGACATCTATTAAAGAGCCCTTCATTGCCTCATTTTCTTCAAGAAATGAATCCTCTTTAAGAATTTCAACATCATTGTTCTTGTTAGCATTATCATCAAGGGTAAGCTCGACGCCTTTTGGGATAATCCGGCCATTAGAATGTGCCATTTGACGCATGACTTCCATTGCTTCCTTGGTTTTACCTCGTACAAGGTACCACCTAGGAGACTCTGAGAGGAAAGGGATAACGATTGTGATGAACACGATGGAAGGTATCGAGGATGCAACATAGAGGGATCGCCATGATGGGAACATGTAGGCAACTCCGGAGAGGAGAGCAATACCGGTTGAGAAGAAATAGAAGGTGGACATACCGGCAACACCACGTTTACTTGGTCCTATAGGCTCGGTCGCTAGGACAAATGCACACATGCCCACCCCGCCGGTGCCAAGGCCACTCAAGAACCGGAGGAGGGTGTACACGACGTAATTTGGAGAGAGCGCGGTCAAGCAACCGAGGATCCCGTTAAATAGGCATATTATGGTTAGTGAGCCTTTTCTTCCTAGAGATGAATCCGAGAGATGACCAAATACTCCTGCTCCTGTAGATTAATAGAATTAGAAGAGTACTTCATAATATAAGATTGAACATGTACGCCACTACGTAACAAATTAAGTAGTTGTCTAACATATTATTAATTCCTAGCTTAATTTACACTATTAACGTTACACTCATTTAACATGTTAATTTTGGACTCGAGTATTAACACAAACGAGGTTGGTATGTAGCCACTAGCTAGTTTCCAAACCCAAAGCCACTTAAGTGAAGATTTAGCAAGCAGACAAAGGCCAACAAAGGAAGCACAAACCAACAATAGGTAATCAATCAATGGTACGAAGTAACAGCCTAACAAGTTCATTAGCATGTGATGGACCGCTTATTCAACAAGGAAAACTATAAGCCACTTGATTGGCCTCTAACTTATACTAGTACTTATTTTATAAAATAATTTACAATTTATAATTGTATTAGTTTCAATTCACGACAATCAAACTTAGATCTAGCTAAGGCTAACTTAAACCTTATTCGGCTATACTAGCCTTATCGAAATTGTCTGATCTAGATCCAATCAACAAAGACAACAAGATTCTAATTTATATTAATTGAACCTATCCAAAAAATTCATACATATCTTTATTAAATATGTCTTGACGTGTTTAATAGATCAATCTAACTTAAACTTAAACATAACGCATAGGAAATGAATATAATATGAGTAATGCCAAATGATCAAAACCTACCAACTAGACTAAATTAAACCCAACAAAAGTGAATTTTTTTTCCTAAAAAATCAATTGAGTCAATAATGTTGGCAATGTATAGAATAATCTTGATTCGAATATACTTTTGTACTCCATGTTGTTTAGGATAAGGTGTTATTTAAGGTATAGTACATTAGTTGATTAGTACAAGACATGAGTCATGCAATTGGTACAACTTGTGACCACCTTAATAAATACAAATTCCTACTATTAGCAGGAGTGGCTAGCTAGATGCAGTTAAAAATAATAAACCACTAGCATGCAGCCGTAATCATTCAAAATCTCTAAATTTTGTGATTATTACAAAAAATAACCAAATGATTCGTCATTTTAATCAATTAAAAAAAATGTCAAAATAAAACTCAAAAAGAGCATCTGTTTAGAGATACCATATCTCTTACAGCTTCACTTAAAGTAACAAACAAGTAGAGATCAAATCATCCAAAATTTAGCCCTTAATCCAAAAAAATCTACTACGTAATATCACTTAAAAAAACAAAAAACGAAAAACAAAAAGATTTATGACCGTAAGACCAATATCTATCTCTTTATGACTGAAACGTTCATTTCGTCACACCCGTCAATATAACAAAGTAACGTACATTGACGTGTGTTTTTTACAACCAATCCACCATAACTCAACCAGTTTGCTACTTATCTAATTCTCATCATCTTGAAAATTTGGAGTCACTTCGTTTCATGTCAATCCCTACATTTTCTCTCTTTTTTATTATTGCTTTTAGAATTATTGTTACATTTATTTTCTAAAACAAATAAATAAATAAAGAAGAAAACCTTGTATTATTTTCTTATTCCTCTCTATCATTTATCTAAGGGCCTGTTCCGATTGACTGAGCTGAGCTGAACTGAACTTAACTTATTAATTAGTGATTTTTAACTACGGATTAGTGATATTTAATTATTTATTGATTATTTATTATTATACATATGTGTATATACAAATGTACATATTAATAATAATAATATTATTATTATTAATTATTGATGATGATTATTATTATTATTATTTATTGATTATTATTATTATTGATGATTATTATTATTATTATTTATTGATGATTATTATTATTATTTATTGATTATTATTATTAGTATTATTATTTCAATTATTATTGTTATTATTATTATTATTTATTGATGATTATTATTATTATTATTATTTATTACTTATTGATTATTATTATTATTATTATTATTATTATTATTATTATTGTCGTTGTAATAAGAGCTTAAAAGAATGAAATTTGGCTTTACATCATTAGCAATATCATTAGACGTAAATTAAGAGTTGAACTGAACTGAATTTCAACGGAAGAAAACAGGCCCTAAGTTGCACAGCTTTATATCAATTCAAATAACATTGTTATACCAGTACTAATTTTTGTATAGTTTTTACTCTCATACATGGAACCACTTAAAAGTTATAACCTCATAGATTGTCTGGTTGCCTCTTTGGTCTTCACGCAATTATTAAAATTACGTGTCCACCAAATTGGTTTGTTTTTTTTTTTTTTTTTTCAATTGCAATGAACTTGAAACACATGGGATAACACATATACGGGTAATAAAATGAGAAGTTGACATATGTCATAATTCCAATTAGCAAGACTATCATTATTGCTTATCTAAAAGAACATGCTTTTTTGTAAAACGTGCATCATGTGGATCTATCATCTGACATTGTTAATATATCACCAAACTAAAACAATAGAATTAGCAATTTTAAAGTTAAGCACTCAAAAAACCAATTGACTTCATAAAAACCAACATTTTCACTCGGTCCCATAGTTTTGAGCGTGTTGAAATTGACTTCATAGAATTAGCAAGCACAACAAAGTGTTCATGCCAACATGTCCAACTTGCAAAACAATGGAATTTTAAGGTACAAAGGAATATGCTTAAGTTTAATTGGTAGCATCTTTATAACTTTGGATGATTACTTATTCATATATCCAAACCAAGCATACTTTTTCCTTTAAAAAACAAAACATACTAATGGAATATTCTATGTTAGGGGCTGAAAGAGTAAAGAGTTAAACAATTTTGACCAGTAATATTTGTAATTCTAGTGACATTTGCTTTAATGGTGACTCAAACAAACAAAATGTTATTTCACGGATTAATTAATTTAATCACTAAATAAGTCAATTTGACATTTGCTTTAATTAATTTAACCTAACCCTTTCTACTTGTAGCATAAATTCATTCTGAAAAGACCTATTAAAACAAGGATTAAGCTATTAAAATACACATTAGCACATGGGTTGTACTTAATTTATAAAAAGATTATAAAAGGCCGTAGTGAGGTTGATCACAAGGAGTGCAAACAATAAGCCTTCAAAATTTTCGATTAGGACTAAAATCTACCTTAATTAAATTTAGGAAAATGGCATACATAGCCCTAAGGGCTACATATAAGCATTTAATTTACTCTTGAAAATTGTTTAAATTTAGAAAATCATGACAAAAGTACACTAATTACACCGATTTGCGCGTGTTTTTGTCATGAATTCCTAACTTTATACATTTTCCAAGAGTAAATTCAATGCTTATATATAGCCTTAAGGGCTATTTATAGCATTACCCTTAAATTTATTAGCTAGATTCTGCTAGGCAAAAACAACAAGATCATTAATCAAATCATATTCTCTTATACAAATTATTGTTCGATAATATAATTTATTTATAATTTATATACTCCGTATGTAGTTTTGTGAACAGCAATTAAGAATTAATATTTAATATCACCCTAGGACCAACAATTACGTAAAAAAACCTTATTCTGTTTTGGTAACCCTCAAAATAAGCAATACACAAACATTCTAATGTGATATGACTCAATTATGAGTATTTGATAGTGCTTATTTCTGATCTTAAGAAATTAAAATAAACTAATTCTCAGTAGTAGCATGATTTATTTCATAATGGTTCTTAAAATTACTCCTACTATTTTGATGAGATCTAGTCAAGTAGTCATTTGCATTTGAACAGTCGTTTCTAATTAACATCTTTAACGATCATCAATTATACATATGCACCATTACTAAAAATTCTTTAAGAAAAAATTTACATCCTCGAAATTCATATATGAAACGAATTCTACAAAATCAAATATCTTTTTAAAACTTTAACGTCAAAAAACAGCTACAATCATGTAATTTTGACTAAGCAAATATAATAAGTCGACAGAATCTAAAAAAACGGAAGTAACAATAATTTAAAGAAAGAATCAAATTAATTACTCTAGAAAATCTATCATTATCAGCGTTGCAATTATTTAGAAACGGATTAATTTTATCTCCAAATACTTAAATTTGATATCAAAATAAGATAGAACTAAAACAACGAAAGATAAGGAGAATAACATTATGTGTACCTATCATGCAGCCGAAGAAGAACAAAGATTGCACCAATCCAACCTTATACTTCTCACCACACACCAACCCCCACTCGGCCACCGTGGAGCTACCGGGCCCATCGACCCAATCCCACGAGCCCGATGGCAGCCCACAAACCTGGGCCTGGGCCGGGCTGCAGCCCGGCCCGGTGCACCACCACCGCGGCTCGCGGTCAGCGAAGATCATAACCATAGTATGAAAGGCCTCTAACGCCCAAGCTAAACTTGTTAGAACGAAATGTCTTAGCTGCCACCTTCCGAACTCGCCGCAATACTTGAGAAGCATCTCGTCAATGGTGAGCTTCTCTGGGACGTTGGATTTCCCATTGGCCGGGAGAATCAACGGCTGTTGGAGATCCCCGAGTACCTCGGGGGTTTGAGAAGGCATTGTTGAATTATATGGGGTTTTTTTATGGGTTATGTTTTGTGAATATTTCTTGCTTATTTATAAAGGCTTTGTCTCAAATTTGTACTGAATTAGGAAAACAGAAAATCTGATTTATGCATTTTACTTTATTTTAAATTAATAATAATAATAATTTAGAAAAGGGATGTGTCACGTGATAATGGGGTGTGCTGTGAGCTGACTGGGTGTCACTCAATAATCGTAGGAAGATCGTGATTTTATAGGAAATAGATTTTTATTTTTTTATTTTTATTTTTTAAGAAATTTTTAAAGGAAATAGATTATCTTTTTTTTTTACTGAAAGGAAATAGATGATCCTAGAGTCCTAGACTCTTGATTTTATTCTAAGTTTTTAATTGATAAATTTATTTGAATGAAAATAATATCTTGTTTGATTTGTGTAATTTAACTCACAATTATCTTCGAATAATAAGTACTCTAAAATACCTATGCTGAATTTGAATTTGTGCCAAGAGTGAAATTTGTTATCATATAAAAACATAGGGAGGAGTTGATTTTTTTTTTTTTTTTTTTTTGAAACCATATTGGGAGGAGTTTAATTGGTTTTTTTTTCCTATTTAAGCAAAATATTCTATAGGGTAGTTTTAATTCTAAACGAATAGAGTTATTGTCAATCCGATAATTTTAATTCATTTAAATGTGGTTTATTTGGAGTTCATAATAAGTGTTTGAGGGCAATAATACAACATGTTTAGGCTGAAGTTGAGATTCATAGTACTTAGTATTCAATATCAATAATAGGTGGATGTAATAAATGATTTTATTTGATTTTTTTCCCTAATTTTGTGGATCTATTAGGATATGTGTACAATGTTTTGCTCTCTTTCCTTTTATACCACATTGAATTTATTGATTTTTTTTTTTTAGAGAATGAATTTATTGATTCAATCTTACCAATTTTGTGAAGGCTTGTGAACTAAAATTATTTCCCTTTAGGCCCAATATTTCTTTTAACGTAGGAAGAATAGGTTTAAGGCCCGATATTTCATTTAAAATAGTTTACATAAATAAATAAATAAAGGTTGATAAATTCCAATAAGTTCACTTTAAGAAAAATAAGCTCGGATATTACCTAAATTCAACTTAAACTACAAATTAAAATAAGTTACAATAAATTCACATAAATACGGAGTACAAATTAGTTAAGTAAATTGTGCCCTTAGGTCTTTGATATTTGCTTAGGTTTTTTTATTGAGTTCGGGACTAATAGAACATAGCCTTACACAAAAATCGGTAAATGATCATGTCCTATTTTGACAAAACTCCTGTTTTGCTGTTTGCTTCATGTTGGTTACAATTCCATCGTATGACACATTGACACGAGCAAGGCACAATAGATCCATTTTGCTTCTGCAAGTACTTACATACATAACACTATTAGAGTCATCAATGATCTATTTGTTATTTGTTACAAATACATTTTGGGCTCAAGAATCCAATTTTCATGTGGGATTTCGTCTAAAACAGTAGTTACAATTCTTACAGGCCATAGCTTATTTTCTAAAATGCGAATACGGACTTGTTCCAAATCGAGCATTACTTTTCATGATGTAGGACTTGAAGGGTAGACGTTACAAAGCTTCTGGATGACGGATTATAGAGTTACATTCATGTAAATGGAGCTTTATTTCATATCTCAGAAGTACTAAAAAAAAAAACTTCTGTATGTGAAAGTAACTGAAAGATAAAAAAAAAAAAAAAAAAAAAAGCAGGGATTAAAATAAACTGTAGCCTATTATACAACAAACTATTAACTCAAATATGTTAGTCCTAAACATTAATACCCTGCATCACACTGTAAATACAATATTGAACATCTCTACATAAAACAACAATGGTGAGAAGTTCATACTATCTCATACAGAAATTCGTCGTCATTGCTAAGCAAAAAGAATTCTAGAGAAAAAAGAATAAATTTCATCAGTTACTTTTAACTTCTGTCTCTTGATTCTGTATTTCTTCCTATCTGTATGATCAATGCCAAGCTGAAGCCGATATCAACATCCTGTCTTTCCAACCTAATAGCATAGCGCCGTCTTTCTCTACCAATGTATAGTGTTTTGAGTAACACCGAAGTAGTCCTCTTATCACGGAGTTTACGTATGAGCTCAAGGGGTATTGCTGGAACCCGGCCATTGTAAATCTGGACTTCCATTTCCCAAAAAGCTCATGACGCTCTACTCTTTCCTTTCCCTCACAAGAAATGACATTGACAATGTCCTTGGCCAAGCAGTGTTGCTCCACACTGATTCGTTCCTTCCTATCTCGAGGCATAGTCACATCAATAGACTCGAACATTGCTGAGTAGTAATTAAGTGCTTCTGTGAACCTTGTCAGGAAAGGGGTAGTATTGGTATTCGACTCTTGCTCGACTAAAGTGGTTACCTTAGGAGCTAGTGATTTCACCATTCTTAGGAGACCATCCCTCGGGTTGTTCACATCAACACTCTCGTCAGGTGTGTGGTGGAGTTGTAAAGGGAAATTCACTGCTAAAGCTTCTCCAGCCCTCACGTCGAGCATTTCCCTTGTGACATCAGGAAGAAAAACTGGTACAGCATGAAACTCAACTGGTATATTATACTTTTCGGAGAGAGCTGCTAAACGTTTCCCCACTGCCTCCAAGCTAGCCCCTCGAGCATACTGAGAAACGGGATCATCAATGCCTGTAATTCGCACATACGGTGCCCCACCAGGTCTTGCAGCAAGAGCTTGCAAGAGAGTCAACCATTGGGTTCCTTGAGCTATCTGGAAATCTACAATATGTATACGATTTTCGTTCCTGCATGCTTCCGCTATAGCTCCATTGGCAGCCATGTAGCCGAACTTCAAGTAAGGACACATTTCATAAAGGATGTGCATGTAAGAAAGCAGATCCTTTCCAAGAGGCTCTTTACACCTAAGAGCCCGGTAAATATTGTTTCCTGATGATTGCCTCCTTGCTACTAGCCCTTCAATCATATAAGCACCAAGGCGTTGTATAGGCTGTCCTGAGATCGAGACCTCTCCCCTGGCTTGTTCAACTAATTTTTCAAAATCGTCTATTCTGTTTTCTGATAATGCCCTTGCACATTCAATTAACAACTCTTTTAGATTACCAGACGGAATTTTAAGTTGCTGGATTTCTTCTTCAACAGCCTTGTGGCGCTTCTCACTCTGACCTCCTTCCTCTGATCTTCTTTCCCCAGAAGCAGATGATGACTGAGCTTGAGCCCCAAGTGAACCCTGTGGCTCTCGGTTCCAGGACCCCAGTCTCTGACTTGGGATTTGGGGTTGTCGGCTTCCTCCTCCGACTGCTTCATCACCCATAAGAACAGTCTCTAGCTCCTGTAAGACACGTCTGATGTTCACTTCATAATCTGTTTTATGAGAAAACAAAGTCCCGCTAGAAGTCCGCAGAACAGCAGTCTGATGGGAATCTTCTGAAGGACTTGAGTTCAGCCTTTGACAGTAACTGGTAGTTTCAAGGGATGAATTACAAGAAGGGCTTTTTCCCGAGAGACTCTCACTCGAGCTGTGTTGCTCTCGGCTATCACTCAATGCAGTGACAGTATCACAATCGAAGGGAGGTGAGAATGGTGAACTTGGAGAGTTTCTAAAACTAAACTTCAGCGGTCCAATTATTCTGTTTGGAATTGGTGAAGAAGTATGCTGAGAAGATATATAGGACGAATCAGCACCAGTAACATTGTATCCCACAATCTTGTGTGAGTCCATGCTATAGCATAAGCTATAGCCCTTCTTTGTATTACCAGTTAATATTGAAATCCTGTGGTAAAATATTTTCCTGCGAGCTCCAATACCGATCTGTAATTACAAAGCATTACAGTTGGTAAGCAATGCAAACACCCAAACTGAGAACTCATAAACTGAACATTCAACAAAGAAATAATAAACTGTATTATAAAAAAATGCTAAGCTTTCTGATGAAACAAACAGGTTAATATTGCAAAATAACTTCAACAAATACAGTAGTTATGCGAAATTGTGAATAAAGAAAAGGACAAGACAAATCGAGCTAACACCAATAATAGTTCACATACTAACTCATTAGTCATGCTCAGTAGTCAGTACCATTGTAAAAAAGAAGAGAAACTAGGATAGGTATGGAATACATGCATAACCGTCACAACTATAATTTTCTCTCCACAACATCGGCGTGAACTTGATGTGTTAAATTACAAGCAAGAGAATCTTATTGATATCTTAGTCAGCTACACTTCAGATTTATTGACGAATTGACGCTTTATGCAGTTACACTTGAGATTCATCCACTTAAATTTATTAAAACATCAGAAATGAAATCTTTAAAGAAAATTTAATAAAGCTGCCTAAAAACCACAGACATACAAAAGCAAGAAACTGCAACAAAAGAAACTTACAGAATTCTAACCGAACAACTGCTTCATTTAAGGCAGGTCTAAGGCCAAGTAAAAAGCATAAGAAAGCATCAATTGCTCTCCTAAACAAGGATATGAGTTATTCTCTTCATTACCATCCAATAAGTCCCTACACTCCATGGTTCATACCTTGACATAGACGGGAAACTCACGAAAAGACTAGATCAATGGTCTTACTTTATGTTTTAGATCTTAACCCCTCCCAATACACTTATGTTAGAAAGAAGAAAAGAGGTAGATTAGCACTTTAGCTTCTACGGAGTACATAACCATCCTCACCAACAGTTATGCTGTAATGGACTAGTAGTTGAAGGGGAAAAACGGCGAGAATCATTCATGAACTATCACCTTTCCTACTGAGATCTCTCTTTGAAACTTAATAGATATGATTAACATAACTTGAACATTTCCACTATTTCATTTAAATTGATACCAACTATGAATCATTTCTTACCACTCATGAAAGAACATCGTGCTTTTTTCCCCTCTTCCTCCTTAATTTCTTCTCTTTTTCCGATTATCCCTCATTTCGCCCCGAACCACCAAAGACAAGGAAGCTCTCATCTCAATTACAACAACTAACAATTCAAGATTCATAATCAGTTTCCTAACATATCTATTAGAAAATAATTACAACTAAACTAATGTCTACTGGTACGATAAACTCGTGGCAATTTATAAATCAATAACTAATTTTATTAATCCTCATTTTTTCAGTCTAACCAAACGCACCCACCCACCCACCCCCTAAAAACAAAAGATGTGTTTCGGTTGAAAACAATGGGACCTTGCCGAAGGTCCACTAAAATGGAGAAGACTGGATTCGATCCAAGCTGTGTTGGGCCGAAGGTTTCCTGCACAGTGAACACACGTAAACTAGCCTCGGGGGTGTTTCCGAGGAAGGCCCCTCCGATGCTAAAGTCAGTACAATGTGTAAAAAGGAAGACACTATGCAAGAGAGTTTGTAGCTTGAGGCTTTTTTGGAGTATTTCTCAATGCAAGAATGAGCATATGAATTGCAATAATCCGTGTATGAGATAATGCATGTGATGTTGTGTCTGATCTCGTATATGATGTTATGAGATGTCGTTGTGTCTGATGTAAGAATATGACTCTCCCCTTGAATGTGTTAATATGAGGGCTTTTATACCTCATCATACTTGGAGAGGTTGGGCTTTAGCCCAATTGGCTTACTTTGTGGGCTGACTTTTGACTTTTGAGCAATTGGAGAGTTGAACCTTGACCTTGGGCTTTTAATTGGATCATTTAGTGCCCAGGCCCAATTTTGACTAAATTGGACCCAAACAACTTGCCCCCCAGACCCGATTCGGAAGGATGACGGGTCGGGTTTGATTTAACTCAGAAAAGGAGGGAAGTAAATGATTTAATTGATCCAAAAATTTGAATTTAAACCGTAATTAATGAGATAACAACGGTTAATGATTTGCGGAAGTTGGACGGATAATGGGCGGTTTAATCACAAGACATGTGTTTAATGGTTACTTAGTGGGTACTTAAGAGAAATTAAAGCACAGACTCTTCGTATCCCGTACCTGGAGATATAAACAGAGGCGCGTCATTCTCCTCACTTATTCACCAACACAAACCCAGAATTCTTCGAGAGAGAATCCAAGAATCCGTATCAAAACTTCGCAAATTCCCCCGAGCATTGAGCTTAGAAACTGAGACTTGCCACTACGAACTCGTAAACCGGCAACTTTCGCTTCAGATTAAGGTAAATTCCTTTGATTTCAGTTTATTTTTCTTCGAATTCGAACTCCTTCCCCTTTTCTTTCGACTTTTCTCTTCGAAATAGTCCATGGCAAGAGGAGTTAGAGGTAGAGCCCGTGCTCCAAGAAGAGCAAGGCCGATTCCCGATCCTAGGAATAGGATTGGGACCTGGAATGGTCGAAGGCCGGAGTCTGACCCTGCTGATGGGATTAGGGCGACTCCCCTTTCCTCGGCTCCTCCTCAAAGAACGGATGAGCCGAGTGCTTCTGGACGGGACGATGAAATTCCCGCTGTCCTTTGGGATATCCTCCCTGGGTTTTCAGAGTGGGAGAATGCCGAAGTCGCTTCGGCCATGATAAAGAACCGCCCCTACTCATGGTGGGTAGAGAACGCCGATCAATATCGATTTGCCGAGCAAATTGAGTTGCACTACGGCATTTTTGAAGCTGATGGATATTGGTGCCGAATGCCCTCAGCATCCGATAGAATCCATCGTCCACCCCCGGGGTATGTGGGGGTGTACACGAGACAGCTTCAGTATGGGCTGAGGTTCCCTTTGGACGTTTTCGTCCGAGACTTGCTGATCCATTACAACATTTCCCTATGTCAGCTAACCCCCACCAGCATCCGAAGGGTGATGACATACTTATGGGTCTGCAAGTTCTTCAGATACGTGCCGAACCTGCACTGCTTCAGAAAGCTCCATCGGCTAGTGCCAAATATTCAGAGTGGGCACGGAAGCCATGGTTCTGGGTGGTATCGGATTGAGTCCCGGCCCCAATATTTGACCATGTGGCCAAATGACTCTTCAGACAAGGATTGGAGAGGTCAATGGATTTGGGTTAGGGCACCCATAGATCCGGGCCACCCTTGTGTCTTCAGCGCTCCCCGGTACTTAGCTGAGCCTGATCCCGAAATGGGAAGTCTAGGTCCCCCCGCAGATAACGGGTCGGATCCGAACCTGGATCAGCAACATATCTTCGGCAAGCTGCCGAACCCGGGGGGAAGTGGTCGAATGCAGCATATCCCGGAGACTTGGCTCCCCGATACGCATTACGTTTTCCAAGAGAACATGCTAGCAGCTGTTGGCCTCAGCCGAAAGTTTAAGGATGGTAAGCTTCTTCGGCTGGGGCCGAGGCTTTTTAACTACCTTTTTCTTCTCTCGCTTTGCTTTTTTATGCTGTGCCATACCTGAGCTAAACTTTTTCCCTTTCCTTTTTTCAGAGCGGGACGAGACCAACGTTGGTATTAACTACGCTCGTCTTGGTGTTAACCGAGAGCGAGTTGTAACTGAACGGGCCCCGTCTATCACTGAGCCGAGGCATAGGGAAGTTCATCTGGACTCTTCCCACTTCCAAATTGAGGCTGTTGCTCTGTATCAGAGGCAGAAGCCTTGGTGGAAGAAGAGAGACCCTTGGTTTCAGCTGCTGAACGAGGAAGCTGAAGCTGCCCGCACAGCCGAAGAGGTTGCACGGGTACTTGAGGCTTGTGAAGGAGGAGAAGGGTCCTCCAGAGCTGCTGAAGCCGAAGCTGCAGCTAGAGCAGCTGAAGAAGACGAGGCTTTGCTGAAAACCTCGGTGAGCTTTCAGACAACTTTTTTCTTTTCTTCTTTTTTTTTTTTTTTTTTTTTTTTTTTACTCACACTCTTCTTCCCCCCTGTCTGTTACAGTCTGAAGAGAGTAACAGACACAGAGAAGGCAAAGCTCCTGTTCGTCCCGAAGATCAAATACAAGAGTCTTCAGACTCAGATATGGACGAGCAGCCCCTTCTGAAAAGGCGCCGAAGGATGGCCATCATCGGCCCTCATGACTTTCAGCAGAGGCCGATGACCATCGGCGTCGCAATAAGGGAACCTGAGGAAGGCAATGGATCGCCGAGGGTTCCCCAGCCAACACCCCAATCTCCTCAAAAGACCCCTCCGCCACTTCCTGAGATGGAGGTGGATCAGAGGACTCCCGAACCTAAGGGAGTGGTCCAAGAAGAAATCAAGGAGAGTGCTGCTGAGCACGGAAATAAAGATGCCGTGATATCAAGTGCTGAAGGCTTCACGGCAGATATCGCAAGAGAGGTTGAGGCTTTCGTCCTCACCCCTGAAGAAGAGGAGGTCATAGTACTTGACTCCTCTGAGAAGGACGATGCTGAGACAACCAAAGCTAATCAAGCTCCATCGTCGTCCTTCCCTTCTTTCCAGACTCTGCATTCTGGAGAAATGGGTTTCTCGGCCCCCCGAATTCCAATCCCAGATCACATCTGGGACCTCATATGGGGTCAAAACCGAGAAGGAGCTGAAGCCTACTTCGGCAGTTTTGCTGGCATGTCCGAAGTAGACAGGGCAAGGATCTGGTCGCTGAAGGCCACTGCTGGGATGGGCGAATCCAGTAGATCAGTTCCTGACCCAGCCAGGTCTAACCAACTGCTGATGATGCAGGTAATTTTCCTTCATTTCCTCCGAAATTCAGCTCTATTTTTTTTTATTACTTATTTTTATTTTTTTGTCTTCCTGTTTTCAGTTCGTGCACAATCAGACTCTCACTGTAGAGCTGATTGATACCCTACAAGATAGGGTAGACGCTGCTGTGCACGAAAGGAAGGTGGCTGAAGAGGAAGTTAAGCTTGCTAAGCTGAAGCAAGCAGCAGCTGAAGAGAAGCAGCAGGAGGTTGAGGAGTACGGTAAAAAAGCTGCCGAAGCTCTGAAAACCTTCTGCGATGCTATGGAGATGGAGGTTTTTCCCCCACTGATGGAAGGGGAAAAATTCCTCCAGGAGCATATGGGAGTGGACGTCTCCAAATTCAAGGCTGCTATTGAGAGCCGAATTCAAGAAGGAACTGCTGCACAAGCTGAAGTGCAGCAGCGTCTAGAGGCTCTTGAAGCCAGCCGAATGGCTGCTGAAGAGTTGCTCTTGGCCAAAGACGTCCAACTCTCAGAGGCTGCTGCTGCTGCTGAAGCTCAAAGAGCTAAATTCCAAGAGGCTGAGGATCAACTGCTGATCCAGAAAGTTGAAGTGGCCCAAGCTCAGACAAAGGCTTTCCAAATTCAGCAAGAGCTGAATGAGCTGAAGGGGTCCTCCTCCAAAGTCGCTGAACAGCTGAAGAAATCCAAGGAAGACTTGGAGGAGACCCAGAAGAAGCTGGCTGATGCTGAGGCTTCACTCAAGGTCCGTGTTTATACCCAAGAGGAATATGAGATGGGTTTCAGAAACGGATTCCGAGTATGCCGAAGACTCTGCCTTCATGCTGAGCCGAAGCTGGACTGGTCTAAATGTGCTGAGTGGGTCCAGAATCCCGAAGACCCTCACATGAAGTATGCAACTCCAGCTGAAGCTGAAATTCTTAAGGCTGAGGAAGCCGAAGAGGAAGCTGAAAGACTGGAGTTGGAAGCTGAGCAGAGGGAAAGGGAGGCTCGGCAAAATGCAAAGCCCGCCTCTTCGGCTGCTGGGGCTGAGGCCACCATGGGACTCAACGCTGATCAGTCTGATCCGCCGGCTGAAGCATAGGAACTCGGGCAGTCGTCTTCAGAATCTTGCGGTTCATCATGTGCTTAACTTTAGACTTGCCGCTTTCTGAGTTTTTTGCCTTGTTTTTTGCTTCAGCTTGCCTTGTCGTACAGCAGTTTTATTTTTTTGCTTATGTACGTATTTCGGCAGCTGTTATTTTCCGCTTGTGGGCGGCTGCCGATACTGAATTATTGAACTTGTAGCTCAATTTTTTTCTTCAAT